ACATTTTGCATGTAGAATATGAACTTGTATATGAAGTGTTTACATTTGTTTTTTATTTATATATAAAGACGGAATTAGGTATCAAAAGAAAATACTTTAATTATTTTCTCATAATTTATATGTACATTATATTCCAGAGTACTGCTCAATTTACCACAAAAGATGGTGCTGCAATGTGGCTTACTGTGGTCTCCAATTTCCTAGCTATTTATTCTAATTAAGACCAATGAGGTTTTTTTCAATTGATTTTATTTTACAGATGTCTATTCCACGCTATGGTCTGAGAACTGAATTGCTTATAACTGTATTTAAAGTCAGAAATAGGGTAATCCAAGGCATAGATCACTTTTTCCTATTCTTTTAGTACATGAGTCAAAACCCTATGTTTCCCGTTCATACCATATGCTACAAATGAGAGATGTAGAATTAAATTGTGGTAACTTTATTATATTATATGACCGAATAAGGACAATTTTTGGCATTAATGTATTCTTCTTTTTTGTGGTGTTGTTAATTCTTATCTGTGTACACCTGTTTGTTCTATATACACACATGGTGAGATATGAGAACTGACTTGCGGGATTATTTAAATGCAGAATAAGGTTGGTATGATTGTTGTCAAAGTTAAGCCTTGTCCACACTTATCAAATTTTATTTGACAAAAACTTGTGACATGCCTAAATACGGTCATGTGACATCACATCATGAACATATGTAGGCACATCATGACTATATATGGGCATACATCAGATTTTTGCCAAAGAAAATTTTGTAGTCTCAGGACAGATCCTCACGAATGACTCAAGGGGATGTGGTTTTGGAGACGAACAAAAGGAGCAAAATGCAAAAAAAAAAAACCCTGATCATCTTTGTCATTGTCATTGTCTCTTTCTCATCACTGTCCCTGTCCTTGTCCCGGGTTTTACCGCCTCCGCCGTAATTGTCATCTTCGCTGTCGACTATCACACGTACACTAACAAGTTGGAGCCAATCGTAATTAGCAACAGGTAATTTTTTTTTAAACAATGGCTTTATCAAAATAACAGGTGGTTTTATATTAAATGTAAAGCTAAAGAAGCTTAACAAAGAATTTAGATGTAATTGAAAATCATCATCAAGTATTTATGTTATAAACTAATAGATCTGATAATTATTTTTACTAATTATAATAAATATCAATAGAAAGAGAAAATAGAGAAATTAAATAAAGATGTTTTTGGCCAAATGCAAGTTTGGATCGCAATTACTGCGTAAACTGATGGATATAAATATTTCATGAGTAAATCTGTGATCATTTATTTCAAATTAAAAAATTATGGATTCCTTAAATTAAATATGTTATCATGTATCCTCAACTTAATATCTTCATTTAAATTATGAATTAAATCAATTAAATAGGTCAAATGCTGTATCATCATTGAATAGCAATTATCCCGATAAGGACCCTTTAATTCGCAGAGGAAAATTCGCATAGGAAAGTGTTAAAATATCCTAAAACAATATCAACAGAAAAGTATACAGAATAACAAAATGAACTGCATGCAGGAGTATAACGCCTCCTATGAGTTTGCAGGAGTGTCCCAGAAATTGACAGTCACTTGCAAACCTGTGAATAAGCAATAGTTTTTTACAAACTAACCCATCTCCCATAATTAACAATGATTGCATGTTTTTTACTTAATGGGTTTGCACACAACGAAATACAATCAAAATATGTTAATAAAGCTAATATTAACCCAGATTTCTCTAAAGTGACTTCTCCCAACTTGAGACCTGACCGCAATTGACAAACTTAAAGTTAGATATTTAGGATATTTTGGACACTGTTAAAATCTTTGAATACTTTATCTGTTCATATTCACCTAAGCCTCTATCTTACCATTGTGCCTATGACATTTTTGTCGTCATACCTTCTGATTCAAGATTTGATTCCCAAGTGGTAATCAATTTCCCACAGATTGTAAATTGAACTAAAACGGCACAAAGCTCTTTAAATCCTGCATTGACCACTTGCCGAACAAGGCTTCCTCGAACCTGTCACCTGACCAGCAGTGGGGATTCTACGGCAGTGCAGAAAATCAGCAGTGATGACTTGACAAATTACATGCATGTTGCGTGATTCACAAGTGCACGTGGTAAAGAACGATGAAGTCTTATGCAGAGCTGCATGAGCAATTTAAGGACCTGGGGCTGGCTATATCAAATTTGCTTTTGCTATATAAAAAAAATCTTTAATTCAAAGATATTGCTTGAATCAGATTTAAATTCATGCCAAGCAAAATATTTGTTTACATTTTTTCATTACTGTATTTTAGATGACAATATACAGTTCTTATGGTGACAGTTTATGTCCTGAAAATATTGAAAACATTGAGTGTACTAGGCCCCTATAAAACAACATTATAAAGATTACTTTATAAATTTGACAATGTACCAGTTTTGACAAAACAGTTAACAAAAAAAATCACTTCTTGAATATTTTGGGTTGTTTGTAATGATCATAAACAAGAAATGTTTGCATCACAATGATATACAGTGCATGAATAGTCTCCCACTTATATCCCTGTTTGAAAATTACGTAAATCCTTTTAACTATTGCACATGCGCAAGACAAACACTTGAGTTCCATATCTGCTTCCCACAAAATAGCATTTACGCATGCATCAAGAAATATTGTGAGCTATGACAATGCTAAAATGACTTTATATATAAACTTAAGTACTTTATTAGGACAACCTTAAACTTCTTATAAGTTAAGTTTGATGAATCCCAACCCTATCTCCAGAGGATTCTTATCAATGGTCAGAAAGATTAACTATTTTCAACGCTTTTTCGCATTTAAAGATAAGTCGAACATATATTGCATGTTTTTATATATGAAAAAAAAAATGGGATTTGTGTTTTCTATGATTACAAGTATTATTTTGGTTGCTGTGTTCGTCACTTCTTTTGTGGCTGTTGTTCTCAACATGTTTCCTTGACAGGAGAATTATTGACTTTTGAAATGGATGTTGTGTAGATAAATGTTGATTTCTATAGCATATAAATGCTAGGTACCATGTACTGGGGATACATTCTTAGGTGGAGAGAAACAACATGTATACAGTTCTTTGCCGTTGACACAAACAAGTAATCCTTGTGTGTCTTTGGACATACATGGAAGCTAGAGTGATCTCTCACTCTCAATTTTTCTGACTGCCAATGTTTATTAAGCTTTAGCAATAAACATTGGCAATAACATTGCTATGCCACATATATATTAAGTCTGAACTACCAACTTTCTTTGGCTGGTGTCACATAATTCTGTGACTGAAACAATGCTACCTTTCACAAAAAATAAATTTCATCTGTAAAGTAAAACATGGGAGATTTTATGATCTTTAAGACCAGTTTGATTTATATAGGCTCTACTACTAGTTTTCAAGTATGAAAAGCTCTTCTTCAGGAGGAAGGAAAGATATATGGCGAGTCGAATGGCCGAGCGGTTAGCAGGGGTGCAGCAACCTACAGCCATAATATTGGCGCTGGTTCTAACGGCACGCTCTCCTATGGTTCTGTTGGTAGAACAAGTCTTCTTGGATAAGGAATGTAAACCGTAGGCCCATTGTAATTACTACTTGGTACTTGGTGGTTATCCTCTTGAATACTACACTTGGAAGTCTGACAAAGAGGCCTTGGGGGAGTGGCTTAGTTTGAGATATGGTACAGTACTTGGTGGTTATCCTCTTAAATACTCCACTTGGAAATGGTATACAATGGCTCGTGTGCACTATAAAAATCCCAGTACATCATTCGAGATGAGTAGGGGGATACCCTGGTGTAATGGTACAGACAGCCCCTCTGGTGGACGACGAGATTTGCTGGTACCGGGTTACCGGGTAGCACAGACACGAAGGGACCCTTAGGGGCTTAGAAATTCATATCAAGTAGTATATCAAGCACCCTGAGCGTCTGATTTGATGAATACAGCGCTATATAAAACTAAATATTATTATTTTAATTAATATTACTATTATAAAAAGAGAAAGACAAGATGAAAGAGGAAAAAGGAATGAGAGGGGAGGGTGGTAATCAGCTTGGCTATTTGAAAAACTGCAAAATCTACATGAACTGACAATTTCAGAAAAGCATTCATGGCAGCTCATGAAAGAATAGATGCTTAGATAAAGCATACTGAATAGGTGCACATAGTCAAAATGGTCAAACGTACTCAGATCAGCAGATAAACCTTAAACTACAACTTCCTATGTTTCATAGGCCTATTTAAACAAAATCAAAATTAACCTTTCTGGGGAGGAAGCCAGCACCTTATCATGGATGTTCATGTGACTTAATGGAATCATCAAATAACACTATACATATGGAACAAATTTGTGGCATGGACGTGTAAAGGGGGTACAACGGAGGCCTCAAGGTTTTTGCGAATTTAATACGGTGGCCTTTGTAGTGTCCACTAAGGTTTCAACTTAAAAAGAAACATGATGTGATTATTTTTAGATTAGATATCTTGGATCCTTTCAAGTGAACAGAAACTGGTATAGGAGAGTGAGGTTTGTGGTCCATAACGCATTAAAATAGGCCAACTATAAAAAGGCATATACTTTAGTAGGTTTGCGGTATTTGTACATTGTCGTGCCATTAAGGTTACAGAAATTTACTTTATCCTAGGTATATCTGAGGAATTCAGGTAATGAAAACAACTGATACTGAATTCACACACACTGGTTGAATTCATAGATCGAGTACAGTACTACAATAAAACAGACTTTAAGTTTGAATAGGAAAATGAGGACTATTGTTAGGGAGACGGTTTGTACTTGGCGCACTAGGCCGGAATGTTCTATTTTAGTCGAAGGGGTGTTCTGTTATGGGAACAAAGGCAATTAGTCGAATTATCCAGGTGAATTAGTAATCACGAAAAATAAACTTTATCATGCCTCAACATAATAAAAAAAACCAAAGTAAAAGGTAAAAAGCACTTTGTTAAATAGTATACACACCTCAAATCACCTCCCATCTTTACCAGCTCCGGTATGTTAACAGACTCTCTGATGTCTTTCTTGGTTGGTCGATGAGGCTCTTTCCTCATTGGTTGGTTCTCATTTTGAGTAGGTTCTGGATTCTGCACCCGGACAACAGGAGGTTTTCCACCACCTGGGTCCGCAAGACGTTGATAATGACTGCTACCCTGATTACTGTCGGTGCCTTGTTTAGAGCTCTGCGATGTGGCCTGGCTGGAATACGTAATGTTATTATGCTTGGTACTCTGAGACTGTGTAGAGGCCTGACTGATGCTAGATACACTGCCCTGACTGATGTTAGAAGCACTGCTTTGGCTGTTGCTTCTGCCTTGCTTTAACTGTCCCTTATGTGTGCCTGGTTCTTCAGAAGGCTTATTGTTGGATATCTGTAGCCGGCCTTGGCTAAGTGTTTCCCTAGTAAATGGGGTGGTTGCAGTTGCCTTGGACGGGCTATTGGAAGCAGCTGTAAATTTTATTCAATGATAAACACAAAATTATTATTAATGACAGTATTTGTGAAGAAACATGTTATAATGCAATATAAAAATATTAAAGTATTTAGAAACAGGCATTGCCTGTTTAATAATAATTTTTAAAACCCCACCGTAACACTTGCATAATTTATTACACAAGCTTTCAAAAAGCCGGGTATCGGGTATCTTCATCAGGTGCACCTGATTAAGCCATTAGCGAAGTAAAATTATTGTCATCACTATCGTTATTGCGGCGTCAACATTATTATACTCTTCTTCCGTATCATCAGTTTCTTATCATCATAGTCATTTTCATGATCACTATCATCATTAACAACATCATCATCATCATCATCATCATCATCACAGTGGGACAGTGGTTGAGGTGCCCATCTTGTAATCCCAGGTCCAGGGTTCATTCCTGGCAAAACGTCAATATTTTTTTTAAAGAAAAAAAAAACGCTTTACCTCCTACCACTTAACAATATCATAGGACAGCTCAAATTTTCTCCATATCAGTGAGTGGATAGGATTACATCCAGGGCCTATTTTGCTAGGGTCTAATTTCGCAAACGATTCTAAAACTTAGCATATATTCAACACAATTAACACCATCACAGAGTATTAATGCGTTTATTAGCAAGAGAGTGAAAGAGAAATATATTTTAAAAGTAGCAATTATTGAATGAGGTCACTATATAATAAGATGGTAGTAGAAACACATTTCTGAGCCCTGCAGCAAGCAGATGTAAATGCAAAATAAGCTTCAACATTATTAATAAATACTTGGAAAAAGAAAGTAAGATCCAGTAACAGAGTAAGCTAAGATCCCATGAGTCATATATCAGAAAAGTTGCAAGTTATCCAACTGTTAGCTTTTGAGTAATAACATGCTACCTGGCTTTACTGCATTTGCCAGGGGCATGGCATACAACTGTAGCTTGCTACCTGACTTACTGCTTTTGCCAGGGGCATGGCGTACAGTAGCTTGCTACCTGGCTACAACATTAGCTTGCCACCTGGCTACAACACTAGCTTGCTACTTGGCTTTACTGTTTACCTGGTGCATAGGAGCTTGCTACCTGGCTACAACATTAGCTTGCTACTTTGCTTATTACTGTATTTACTAGGGGCATGGCGTACAACAGTAGCTTGCTACCTGGACTACTGCATTTACCAGGGCATTGTATACACCAGTAGCAATCTACCTGGCCTACTGCTTTTACCAGGGCATTGTATTATACACCAGTAGCATGCTACCTGGCTTACTGCAAGTAACAGAGGGATGGCGTACAACAGCTTGCTACTGGCTTACTGCATTTATCAGGGGCATGGCAGGTAACAGTAGGTTTAGAGTGGGGGTGGTACCACCACTGGACAGTAGCACACTAACTGGCTTGATGCGTTTTTAGGGATGGAGCATACCAACAATAGCATACTAACTGCCTTGATGCATTCCCAGGGATGGAGAATACAACAGTAGCAAGCTATGTAGTTTACTGTATTTCCTAGGTAGTCTGGTTGTTTCATTGATGTACAGGGAAAAAGTCATGATGGGGATACTTGCACAGGGCCCATAATAAGTTCCCCACAGCACTTTAAATAGATAGACTGCAGATAGAATTGAATATGACGATTCCCAGCTGTTATGAAAATTAACAAAATCAAATGTTAGAAAATTGTTATTAGTAATGTTATACCTGATGATGAAGCTTCTCGTTTATTTTCTTGCACTAAAAAGACAATTAAAAATAAGATAGGCTATCAGGACCTGACTATGTGCATCAAAATCTACAGTGTATCAAACTGTACACAGACAGGCATTTGAAGGTGTTCACGAAAAATACAGCAACTTTTCTGGAGTGTGGAGAGTGAATGAAACTTACGGCTTGTGGGCGGAGTTGATGTACCGGATGCATACTTCTTACGGATCTTCAGTCGGATTTTTCTTCGATCCTCAGAGTTATCACCAGGTTTAAGTTTGCGAAGGATTTGGGCTAAGTGTTCATCAAGTTCACGTTGAGCCATTTCTTGAAGCAATTGTTGAGATGTTTTTCTAAAAAACAAAAATAAAAAACAGGTGTGATAAATATTTAAAAACTCTTACATACATTTGAGAAAAGTCAATTTGTTAAATTAATCCAAATACCCATACAAAAATAAAAAGTGCAAGGGGTGAAAAAAATACACTCAAAATTACAGATAGAAAGTAATTACAAATTTATTTTATTGAAATAAGTGTTTTAAGCAAAAAAGTAAAAATGTGAAATGAATTTCTGTGTATGTTTGGCAGAGAAAGTTGTAGAAAATATTGTGAATGTGTTTTAAAACTTAGGTACCGGTACTTACTTTGACTTTGCCATGGTTGCAGCTCCGGCACCATGGCCCAGTGTTGAGCGTGCTCTGTGCGAATCAGTGTCACTAGGCAGACTAAACCAATAGAAGTAAATTTATAGGACAGTGATTCAACAGTGCAATGTGAAGTGAACAAAGGAATTGTGAAGGGTATGTTGAAATAGGGGTTCAGCTAGGCTTAATTTGCAAGGTTTGGGAACCATTGGTAATGTAGGGGTGACTGTAAGGTTGGGATCAATTGACATAGGGTTCCATTGGTAGGTCATGGGTTACACTGGTACGGTTAAAGGTTCCATTGGTACTGTAGGGACACCATTTTTAATGTAGGGATTCCACTGGAAATATAAAGTGTCCATTAGTGAGGTAGTGGGTTTATTATTAAGGTGTTACCTCCCTCTTCCACCCATAGAGTATAAAATAATTACACTGTCATATCTAATACACACAAGAAATATTAGCGATTTCTAAGATACACAAGGAAGAAAACCTTCAAACAATTCTGAATCACCAATTTATATCCCATTAATAACAATTTTCTTTTCAAAAGCAGAAAAAAAAATTGACGAGTGCTTACACAATCCAAGCCTCTTTCAAACTAATCTTATTTTATTTAAAATTCACATGCATCTGTCATGCATGTTTCTTGAGAGGTTTACTGAATCAATCAATCACTCCACTTCTAAATCTCTAAAGAATGCTTATTTTCTTCAAAAGATTTTTTTTTTCACAGAACGTTATCGTAAGCCAATATATCTCACGATATTGGGGATGAGGAGGAGGGGCTTATGGACCGTGAGAGGGCGATTGCCAGCTAGTCAAAGGTGATGATTAGCTTGGAAGAGAATCAGAGGTTCTAACAGCAGCAAGTGTGGCAATGAATTTTGAGCCCACATATACAGTAATTCTTCTATGCCTTTTTAAAATAAAAACATCCTGAGAAAACTACCTTGTCATTAGCCATCATGCTATGTGTTACTTCTAGGTGTGTCCACTGATTGCTAGATTGTGAATAATAAGCTTGACTATCACACAATAGGACTGCAAATTTAATTCAACTTTGAACTCACCTTTCTGCATACAGCTTACGATGTAACAACTCATTGTTCGTAGTCCTAGATTCAAGTAGAAATCTGTAAGAAAAAATATAAAACTACATCAATGGTTTCAAAGAGACAGTGTGACAGCATTTTTAGATCTACCGTAAATAAAGAAATGCTTATTGCTAACTTAAAGTTGATGAATAGATGAAAACTACTGCAGCAACTTTTTATACAAATCTTGTTTTGCAATCGATGAGGTATCCCAATCCATTGAGCACCTAAAACGCAATTTATATAAATGCAATGTTGTGTTTGTGTATACACGACAACTTCCTGGGCCTCTGCTAAAGTGGCAGACATTATCAAATGTCAAAGACTGTCTGGCGATATAGCATATGTTTCAATCTTATTACACAAAGCAATAGCAATAATCAGCAATGATTTTTTAGAATCACCGGGAGAGGGTGTATAGTATAAAGTTGTTTGGGTGCCTCTGGCAATGACATGCCCCAAACTCATCAATGTTTGGTGTTAGTGTACAATAGAAAATACAAAATATGGATTAAAATAACAGAATAATGTTGTGTTGTGTATTTAAAAATCACTAAAAAGTGGGAAGAAAGTACTTTAACCTCCAACCTTGCTGTGTCATTGATTTTGTAAGTCACAAAGTAAAATATTAAATATGAATACAAAGCAATGAATGTATATTGATGCACTTTAAAGTAATGTTTTGTAAATGTTTTGTTATGTCTTTAAGTTATTGTATTGGGAAGGTACTATCGCTGGACACATGGTGAGCTGTGGCGGAACAGCAGAAACCCTGGCATCAGGCCAATGTCAAGGTTAATTTGTCACCATATACAAACAACCACAAACATTTCTTTTTCTCTTTTTTTATATTAAAATAAAACTAATGATTGAAATTCTAAAAATAATTGAGAATTAAGATAAAAAATAATTTTAACATTGCACAAACAGAAGGATAATCAATACGGCCATTCCAAGGCAACACAACATAACAAAAAACAAACAAGAGTTGATTTGCTATGGGACGGCCGAAAATGTTAGTCTTTTCTTTGGTAGAAGGCATGATTTATATAAATAGTGTGGCATATAATGTTATGGTGTAGTATATAGTGTTATTGGATTTCCATGATAATTTTAGATATTATATAATAGGTCAATAAAATTATTTATTAATAAAGAAAATCAATCCACCTCTGGGAATATTTTAATCATGGTGTTACATTTTTGTCATAGCTTGTTTTATCTGATCCCTGGCAGGTTTCCTTATGTTTAACTATCATGCAAGGTTTCTAACTTCCATTCTATTATCAGCTAATGTGTAAAATTACAGAGCTTTTTGCAATTGTCCAAAAGTTTCAAACATTTTATTGGGTATGTCCCATGGTTAAATATCTATTTATGTATTTCCTGGCTCAAAGGGTATGAAGGAAGAAGTTCTCAAGACATGAAATTAGAGAATAAAAAAGAAAAGGCAAAAAAGAGGGAAGTGTAAGAAGGAAAAAACAAAAGAAAAAAAAAGCCCAAGGAAGAACAGGAGAAAATAAAAACTAAAATATTTTAAAAATGTGAAAAAAAGAAAAAGAAAAAATATAAAAAAGAAAAGAAAGAAGGACAAAATGTGAATTCAACAGGTACTGCAAATCATTATACAGTAGATACTGCTAATATATATGAAAAATTTTCTTTTTTATCAAACCAAACCCGATGAATATTTTTCAACTAGTTATTAATATATATTCAATACTTCAATCCAGTGGCGGATCCAGGGGGGTTCAAGGGGTTCGGACGAACCCCCCCTCTGTGAAGAAACATAAAAAAAAAAAAAATGGGTCCTGCTTACAAAAGGCATGCTAACCTACCAAGGCATAGGTTGGAAGATCAGACAAACTAGGCTTAGCCCAATTAGTTTTTAATTAAATAAATTATACGCACTGTTTTTGGTTCACCCTCGTAATAATTTATGTACGAAAGTGCGTTCTTCAGGCTTATCGATCCATGGAAGAAAGGCTACATATCTAACTATTCAATGTTGTTGGAATATAATAATATATTGCCTGTCTTTAATTTTTTCCCTCTATGATAGGCCTAAAGAATGAGATAAAATTACCTGACCTTTTTTCAAGAGAGAAAACCTTGAATTTTGAAGAACTTAAAGGTTATTAAAAGATTCCTCAGAAGTCGGGAAAGCTCATTTCCGGCCATCTAGGAATCAAAATTTCATTTTGGGGTTTTTTGGAAACATTTTGAAGCCCCCTCCCTCTTTTTAAACCTGGATCTACCCCTGCAATCCATTACATCTCAATTAAATAAAAAATATATATTTATTATCATTAACGATAATCTCAATATTCTAATTGTATATATTGAGTACAGTAGTTTCTTTTCAAGTCTAGTTTATGTTTCTAATATTAAATCAGCATACAAACTTCCTCTCTCTGAGGATGAGGGGGTGGGTGCTTACATTAAAAAAGATTAATTTGTTTGCCTGAGTCATTTTTACAAATTTGTTTCCTAAAATCATCAGAAAGACTTTGTATTCTCATAAAATAATTCAACTGTAACTTTAAATTTAAACACCTTTAAAGCAGTTGTTCACAGGGTCTACCTTTGGAGTCATCCCAAGCCCCAACTTATCTTCACATCAATGCTCACCAGCCAGCCCTTTGCATGTTTCTTGAATAAGGAGTTGCGAAGTACTATAGCATTGTACTGTTTCCGTATCAGATACTTGAATTGCATCATGATTTTTAAGTGATTGATTGATCCCTTGTCAATAGATATATATGTAACAATTTAACTCCCACAATAGAAGATACATGTTCAACAGCTTTCATTCTCAATTTTATTCTATAATCACCATAGATGAATTATTGAGATCAAAAGACTGTAAAAAAGGCACATGCAAATTAAGCAATGCTTCAAGTACTAGTCCGAACATAAGATAACCTATTTCTAAAAGTTAATATTTACTATGTAATAACAAGTTATGAGAAAGTTTTTAAAAATCACCAAAATCCATTTTTTAAACTGAAAATCAAAGATATAATCAAACGTAAATTTTTAAAAATGTTTTTTTTTTCAAATCCAACAAGCAAGTGTCTCAAATATATTACAGGACAGACTGATGCTCTATAAGGTTTTGTTTTGAGGCTTATATAGTAGAGTTGTTTTTAGCTGTGAGAAAAATTCCTGGCATATTTACAACCCTAGTACAGGGAGGCAACCAACAAACTATAATACCACTCTAATTGCAGTGCAATGTAACATCTACCGGTAAATAATTTTAGGGAGTAAACAATGAAAACATTTAATGGTATAAATTGCTAATAGATCATGTACTTGATACATACAGGGGAGAGCTCTACAACAACATAAAATTATAGCAGTGTCACAACGCAACCCACTTAACGTGCAAACCCAGGATTAACGCTAATCTATAGCCATAGAATGTGATTGATTAGTTTCCCGTCTTCACTTCTCGTTATCGAGTTTGCCAAAAAAGCATGATAGTCAATGCCGTGCTGGGTGTATCATTCTTGACTACTTGATAAGCATTTCCTAGGTAGGCCTGTTCGCTACCTGATCCCGCGACATTTGACATGTTTTCAAGCAGCTACTTTCATCAACTGTCATGGATACATATTTAGTTGCCATGGAAAATTCAAATGATGATGAAAAGCATCGAGCACATTACACTTTTATCACATTATAGGAGCATTATTCAATTTGTCCCCCAAATTGCAAGAACGTGACAAATTTGATTTAGAACTCAATCCCAAATAACTATTACCATGCAATGATGAGGCTTGCGTTAAATTCTGCGAGGGTTTTTTTTTTTTTTGCATGTTTTAGAGGCTTCTGTCTAAAGGTGATATTAAATCTGATATATTAATTATTATTATCATCATTATTATAAATATAATTTAATTAAATAATACAGGTTATAATCTCATAAACTTTTTTAGAAGAAGACAATAATGTCTCTTTTAACATTAGACTAATTTTCATTTCTTTCTTTAAGCTAAAACTTTTATCATTAAAGGAGGTCAAGGTAAAGTGCATATAAATAAAACATTAAGAAATATTTCAATATCAATAAAGTTTTCTATTATTAGAATACCTGTCATGACTGATCATAATTTGAGATAGAAATAGATGGTGTTTGATTGAAGATGATTGGTTTATTATATTAAATTAATAGAAAGATCATAGTAAGAAGAACTTAAATGAAAGTATGGAAAGAGAGAAAGTAATTTAATAAATAAAAAACTAAACTTAAATAAAAAAGAAGAAAATTGAAGGATGCAAGAAAAGAAAATTTAAAAAATAAGAAAAATGAAGAAAGTGAAATTATAAAATTGGAAAAAGATACAACAAAGTAAACAGTTAAAACGGTTGGAATCCTCCCCTCCCACCCACAAACAAAAAAATTTAAAGCCGTAGTATGAATAACAATAGAAAAATTTTTTTTTAAAATCAAAAGTAAAAATTTTAAGCAATTTTGAAGAAATTGAAGAAAACAAAGCAAAATTAGATAAACAATGAGAGAATAAGAGAAAAAAACATAAAAATATTAAGAAAATAAAGGATCTTAAGATGAAAGAAAAGTAAGAATTGTGAATGCAACAAAAGAAAGACAAGATAACAATGACAAAATTTCTCTTTCTTAAGGCATGAGCTTGAGATGTCAGTGGCTTGGGATATGCAACATAAAAACCATGAAGCAACAACTATTGCTATCATCTGACCTTGCCACTTGTAACACCCTAAAACCACATTTTATTTGCCTATCACCATGAGTTGGTGCTTTGTTGATGTTAACAATTTTATCAGGTAAGTATGTACCTTGAAATTATCCAGAAATAAATTGACGCTCAAGTATGTACAAAGTTTCTGTTATTCTTGAAGTCCTTCCTGTTTGCTGTCAACCCTATCCGCTTTACGTGTTAGAGGAATGCAACACAGTGGAAGACAGTATTATTTTGTTGGATAGGGACTGAAGGGCCACATATAAAGTGATGTATTGTTTGTTGTATTTGTCCGGGTGTGAATTGGTTTTCCTAATGCAAATGTCTTAGTGTTTGTTTACCTTTTCCAAATTTTGATGTTTTTTTTTTGTTGTGATGCTGATTGTTTTTTCTGTGTCACTCCTTTTTCTCTGTATTTTAAGTTTTCTCACTAGTTGCATTTTAACAATAGTTTATCTTTTAATAATATTGTATTCTTGTAAATTTTGTAAATCTGCTCGCAATTCAGTTATGTTTTACTGCTACAAGTTTTGATAATAAAAACAGAATGAATGAATGAATGAACGATCAATTTTGCTATTGGCAATTTGGTCTATCTCCTGAAAACATTTTCAATTATCTTGCTTTGTGTTTTTGAATATTGCATTTTATATCAAATGACGAAATGCATGAAATAAAATTAGAAACTCACCCATATTTGTCATATGATGTAGCCGTAGGGAATACCCTCATCCATCCCCCACGTCTGGTGTATTCTTCTTTACTCTCAAGTACGATTCTTCGTTCCTCAGCAGTAAGCGCTTGTTCTTTACCTTTGGCACCTGCGTTTAGTCTTTTACCCTGATTTAAATTTTTAGCACTCATGTTTCCGGCTGATTGGGGACGCTGTTTCTGTAACAAAAAAAAACAAAAAAATTAAATAATGAGTTTTTTTTTACACTTTGATTTATTATAATAATTTAACATAATAGGATATATTGGTAATGGATAGAATGATAATTGAATAATGGATAAATGGAGGAAAGGACATTGTGGCAAATAAATAAATATAAGAATAAAATGAATAAATAAATATATAAGAGAATTATGTCAATGATAATTCAAATATCACTAATCAACATATCAAAACCTGATAAAACTATCAAGAAGGTTGAAAATTGAAACATCATAATTTTGAGCACAATCAAATACTCTCTTAAAATCATATAAAACCAAACCACATAACTACACCAAAAAAAACCCTACAATTTTATCATCTTTTCCAAATGACATTTTATAATGAAAAAGTAGACCTACAGGGAATTAATCACCCATCAATCAATCAATTATTAAGACAAATGTGTCATCTGGAATTAAAGTAAAGAGTTAAGTTTATGGTAAGCTTGTGACATTTATGAATTCACTCCTGACCAATAGTAAGGGTCTCAAATGAAATCAAAGGCAGATTGATTTTTTAAATAGTAAAAATAATTTTAGAAAAATGAATTAGTCATTATTGAAACGTTATCATTTAAAACATTATGGACATCAGGACTCTGCCCCTAAGTTTTCCCCTGGATCTGACTCTGGGTCTATATATAATAGGAGCTCAAGAATATTAAGAACTTGTGATTTTAGAAGAGGTGCTTACTTAAGGAGTCGAGAGTAAGTAATAACTGAAATCATTTTGTATTTGCATGCATTTCCAGAGAAAAATTAATTTCCAGCTTGTTTTATTGGACAATCAGGTTTAATATTACCTTATAACTAATTTTGTCAAAGAGAAGAGAAGAATTATATACTTATTTTCTTTATATTCAACATGATATTATATGTATCTGATTAACTGGCCTATATAGTTCATATTGTAATTAGTATCACCCCTTTTCCATTAATACAAAATGCCAAAAAACTGAATACAATTAAATAACTTATGTTAATTTGGACTATATAAAAATGTAATTTTTTTTAGTAAATAAAGATGAGTTTTGTTCTATTTTTTTAAACCTTAAATTGTCATAAATTTTCTCTGACCATTATGAGTTTTAATCACTCTAATAAAGCTGCTTTGTAAAACACTAGAAAGGTTAGTAATTTGCAATTTGCTAAAAACTACACTTGATGCTATATGTATATATGAGGATCTGAGTAAAGATTAAGTATCAAAATCCTGTCACATTTCATGACTGATTTGTAGGCTTTATGCCACATTTTGTTTTCCTGAGGAAGCTGTTCCCATCAAATTGTTGAGCATTTTCCTGTACATTTATGCATGCAAAGCTTTTCCTAGTAATTACTTGTTCAAGACTAGTGCATTGACCAAGAACAGGATGGAAGAACTCTGCCATTAATTGTCAATTCTCACTGACACTTTTTTCTTTTTAATGGATTGCATTTTAAGTAGCGTAGCATTGCTTTTAAAAATGATCCAGTTAGAAAGTACAGTAAAGTAAAAGTATAATTTTAAAAAAAGGCAAACAGCCTTAACTAAATTACATTTGAATCAATATAGATGGAATTTTTGAATTCATTAATATTTTTTTGGTTCCAGTGTATTAACTTGAGCAGGTAAATGGAAGAAAAGAATCTATAGGACTGAAGGCGCAAGCTTTTTTTTGGGAGTGCCTGCACACTACCTAGATATGGTACTGTGGTCAGGTACATGGCTATAGTTTGATTTATAAATTCCAATTTAAACTGGGCATTATCTTGGAATGTCCTTTTAGCACATGTCCTTTGTAATATTATTTCTCGTGTGAATCAGTTGTAAGTCTCAATATGAAAGATTCTCTGTCCACACTATTAAACAGTATGCGACAAACAACTGTGATATGTCCATAATTTGGTGTAATATGAAATCATGATGTCCGTATATGGAAAACACACAAATTTGTCACATTTTTTTTCACATAAAATTTGAGCTAAGGAATTTAGGGCAAATATCTTACTACATATAATATAATACCAAGCTACAGTGCCACTTCAAAACATCAAATGTTGTAATATGACATCATGATGTCCATGTATATGGACACATCACACAAATTTGTCACATAAAATTTTAGTGTGACCAAGCTTTTTTGTCACATAGAATCTGATAGTGTGGACAGAGCTTTAGGGAAAGGGGTTGTTTTTAGTCACAAAACATGTCACTGGTGATTTGGTTAGAATCTGAGCCAAGGATTTTAGGGCAAATATCTTAATCACCAAGCTACAGTGCCACGTCAAAACATCAAATGTTGTAATATGACATCATGATGTCCATGTATATGGACACATCACACAAATTTGTTGCATAAAATTTGAGTGTGACCAAGCTTTTTTGTCACATAGAATCTGATAGTGTGGACAGAGCTTTAGGGAAAGGAGTTGTTTTTAGTCACAAAACATGTCCCTGGTGATTTGGTTAGAATTTGAGCCAAGGATTTTAGGGCAAATATCTTAATCACCAAGCTACAGTGCCACTTCAAAGCATCAAATGTTGTCCTTTTTAAACTTTCCTTCATTTAAATCATATCAAAACCCAACATTGTTCTCAGAAAACTGCTACATCTAATCAAATTTCAAAATATAATTTGAGACATGAGAAATGGTGTAGGCAGGATGGGTGGTGAACAACTGTAAATTCAATGCACGCTACGGAAAGCGAAAGTTCTAACACACACTCAAAGTACATTCAAGAGTGGTCACATATTTGAAGATGTCGCTAATCCCACTATGTGACAATTGCTGATGGACGGAATTAAATTCAAGTTAAGTTGTGCCATCCAATGATTTTTTTTTTTTAGAATTTACGATTCATGGTACTTTCGAAAGGACTTGTATAAATCTCGGAGGAATATGTTCATCCTTGGAAGTTATGGGGACTACATTCTTCATAAATTAATTTTGTTCTGTATACATTAAGCAACATTATATACAGTTACTTAAATTTCTCCAAGATTATCTAAAATTTCCATTTCTTATCTAAAGTTTCTATTTCCTAACTTAAAACTTTCAAGGTATTACCAAAAAAATGTTGGTCTAATATTCTTTCAAATGGATTCAATATTATCTAGGACACTGAAAGAAGTATTCACTTGAGGGCAGCAAACACCAAAATTTACAATGATGAATACAGTAAATAAAATTGTGACTTATGAAAAGTTTATTTATATTTTTTTTTTAAATATAAATATATTAAAATAAAATAGCAAATCTATGATGTGCAAATGAACTATGTTAAAATTATGTTATGTAACAAAAACTAAAGCCTAATAAAAACGAGCAAATTCATCTCAGTTACCTGCCTCGCACTGTTGTCATCTTTAATTTCAAATATGAGATACAAGGATGAGAAAATGCTCTGTAAAACTGGGCACTGTGACTCAATTCTACGGAGAATGCAATGCTACGATGCACACACAACGACCGTTTCTAAAGACGATCCCTGCAGACTCAGGGAAAATCAGCAGCGGCTCTGCCTCGTCTAGCGCTAACAGAGAGCGAAGTTGGATTTGTCGTATGATCATTGTATGACGTAGTGACTACCTGGCTTTAAAAAATTAAGCTAAGTTGTTTTATCAAGGTGATTGCGCCTAGTATACATTTGGTCTCACAAGGTAAATTGCTCACTCTCTCAATAGGCAAAAATCATACTGTTTATTATGCTTACATAAGGTGATTTTGCTGAGCTATTTGTATGCGAGGTTGGTAGTTAAGCTGTTTGTATGTGAGGCTGACAGCTGAGCATTTTGCACCGGCAATTTGCAAGCAAATATGGTAACCGTGGTATATCTAGGTGAGGCTAATATCTGAGCTATTTGCTTGCGAGGCCAGTAACGGATATGGACTCACTCGTGTGGGACAGACTGAACAAAACTCACCCTCAGCTCAGCGCCAACTCGCATCTTCTGCACAAAGATGGCAATGAAGATGTATAACAACAACATGGAAATCAAGACAAAGGTTAAAAGCAAAAAAAAAATCCAGCAGTGTGTGAAATAAAACTTGTGAAATAAATCATCCAAATGAAAATAAATATAATTATAGAAGGTGCTATCATAATTTGCTATCAATCTTATATATGTTAGATACATAAGACTACATTTCATCACAGCCAATCACAGAAAATATCAGGATGCTTACATTTTAACTGACATAGCTGGATTAATATAAGCTTAATTTAATTAATTTGGGTGCCAAGATTGAACCAATCAAATAAAATGTAGAATTTGGTTGTCATTTTGATGATTATGGATATTTTTTATCAGAATTAAATTTAATAATTATATTTATTTTCATTGGAATTAATCTAAGCAGTGAACAGGTCATGCAAACAGTAAAAAAACTATAAATAAAAAAAACTTAACTATGCAAAAATGTATAAAATTTCAATTCAAATTAAAGAATTCTTGAAAATAACATAACTTTACAATGAATCAAAACTGTTGTTATAGCCTACACATAAACAGACTAGCATCTTGATAGCTTGTATAATTGTACTTTCTTGTTTTTGTAACCGAGATGTATTGATTGTTGTCTTGGGCTTTCTGCCAATGGTTTTCATCTTTGATACAATTATACTGAATATATGTTGTCAAATTTGCAATAAAAAAAAATTTAAATGAATATGTATGGTTGAATGAACAAATGAATGAATGAATAAATGAATAATTGAATGTATGATTGAATCAAAATCTGTATCCACAAAAAAAAAAATATGAAAGTTACAGACATACGCCTACAAAAATGCATATTTATACCTATGTTAAATATTGGCATACACCCACATAAATATCGACATACACCCACAATAAAATAGAAATACACTCACAATACTATAAATATACACCCACAAAAATATAGATATACACCCACTTTGTGTAGACATAAACCCACACACAGTAGTTATATAGATGTACACCCATATCAATGTAGACATACATATATATTAATCTAGATATACACACCCACATAAACTCTGATAAACACCCACACTTACCTATATACATACACCCACAGTCATACACCGGCAGTAATATAAGAGCTAGACAATATACACCCACACTAATACATACATATACTAAAACAAGACATACACTCATAGGGCCGAAACTCCAATTCAATTTTGAAATCGTATGAACAAAAATTATAATATAAAAAAATTAAATAATGAACACAAACAGGGGTGGATTGATACGTTGTGTTTTACCTGTTGTTTAAGCACACTGCTAGCTGCTAGTTCCTGGTTTCGTTTACTTTGTTGGATCTTCCTCGTCATAGGGTCATGGGCCATAAAACCTTGATAATAATTTAAGTATCATCCATTATTCATGGCATTACATTTCATTTTATTTATTGGTTTCGAACGATCAAATTTTACAACAAAAAAAACTAATAAAATAAGAGAGACGGGAAACCCCAAAATTAAACTAAATCAAGGATGGAGTGAAACACTTTTGCGAAAAGAAATTGAAGCTTAACAACATGTAATTGTCAGATACAAGATAAATGTTAAATATCGTTCTACAATAAGAATTAGAGGAGTTAGAGGAATGTTTTGCTGATGATGTAATTAACAGCAGAATATTTTATCTGAAATTTTTACTGGTACTGGTACTGGCATTTATAATGCACCTCTTCCTTGAGGTTATAATGTGCAGTTCTCTTCCCTGGTCACTGGGTCCACATGCTTTAAGTGTTGCTGCTGGTAATCAGCGCAGGAGCAGGCAACCCCACCAGGTACCCATTTATACTCCTGGGTGGAGAGAAGCAATGCAGATGAAGTGCCTTGCTCACGGACACAGGTCAAACAACTGTTAATTTACATAAGATAATGCTGATGATATCCGTAAATACTGCTGCGATGCAGAGGTAAATTTATAGATCATCGTGCTTACTGATCCGTTATGCAGAGTTACTAACTCCATTTACACGGATAAATGTGATCATCACGGTGATATCCTGCCGTTTAAACAAGGCTACTGACGACAAAACCAGATGAAAGGACTAACCTGTCAGAGAGAACAGATCGGACATCAGGTTTGACTTGATCTTCAGATCCAAAGGTGCATCACTGCAAGAATAATCAAGTTAATATTAATTTATTATTTACTTATATAAGTTACCTACCTTTTGTAATTACTGTACTTAAATTGTATTGCCAAAAAAAAAAAAAAGGATGAAATAATCATTAAAGTGAATTAATTTTCAATTTCATATAAACAACCTACAATTGCTTAAATATTTATGGGTTTATTAATTAGCAGGGAATTATTTTCTCGTTTAAATTTTTAATTAAAAGCTAATATTTAAATATACCAAGTAAATCAATCCTATATCAATGGGGTGGATGTTTATATATAATAATAGACAACTATGCAATATTGTTGCATATAGAATCTGTTGAAGCTGTGCATGACATTCAACAACAGACACTGATAAATAAAACAATTGATTCTATCATTGAGCCCTATAAACTCTTATCAAATCTCAAATGAAAATTTGTGTTCACTGACCATATATGGGCATAATGATGTCATACCACATCAATACATGGGTATGATGGTATCATATCACATCCATATTTGGGCATGATCTCATATTTTGGGAATGATGGTTTCATATCACATCACATCCATATTTGTGCATGGTATCATAACATGCGCATATATGCGTATTATGTTATATCACATCCATACTTGTGCATGATGATGTCATATCCTACCCATATATGGGTATGATGATGTTATATCACATCCATATTTGGCCATGGCAATGTCATATCACATCCATATTTGGGCCCATATATGTAAAATAAAATTTTACATTTAAAACCTGTAAAAAATCTGTAAAACTACTTAAGTTCAATATCCTACATAACAGAGACGACATTTTATTTTTATGAAACATTTAGAAAAAAAAAAGAATGATCTTGTTGATATATTAATCAGGATATATGTTAATTAATGTCAGGAAATATTGTTGAGTAAATAATTCTCTATAGCTTATAAATCTAATTCAAAATTCAAGATAAAGTGAATGCCAGAGGAAGGAAATGTTCAATTTGTTGCAAACAGGATACGCTTTATTCAACAAAAAAATTAGAGAACTTCAAATGTACACAGTTTCACAATGACAATAATACAATTAAACCACAATAATAATAATAAAAATTAAAACAAAAATGATAATAACCAATTAATAAATTATAAAGATATTTTTTGATTTAATAATAAAATCATATAAATTTTTGTAACTTAAAGCTCTGTCTACACTCTCAAATTTTCTTTGACGAAAAACTGTTGTATGCCCATATATAGTCATGATGTGCCTATATATGGTCATGATGTGATGTCATCATGACCATATTTAGGCATGTCACATGTTTTTGTTAAACTGTCAGTTATCATAAAATGTTTGCATAAGTTACACAAATTCAAATGTTTTTTTTTATATTACTGAAGAATACTAATTAACTTTAACCAATGAAATTATTTGATCATTATAACAATATAATAATAATAATTATTATTATTATTATTATTATTATATATTATAAATACAAAATACACATATTCATACACACATCCATATATTTTGTGCATAGAAAGTAAGGAAGCACTCCATGTGCTAAATAAGATATGACTTATAGTATGCTTACGCCCTCAAGCACTGAGTCAATAATGTTAATGAAGGCAATTCCTGTTGTACACTATCACAGATACATGACTGACTATAAGAGTTACACATTACCAAACTAACAACCTGCAATAAATGATGTACTGTCAAATTAGAACAAGTACTACATTTGATCAATTGAGGAAGGCCACAGGATGTTTTATTCATGTGGATAATAACTATTGTTATTAATTATAAACTGCAATTAATTATAGTATCTATCAAGCTAGTATAAGCCTTAGCCATATACATTAATTTAGGTCTTGCCACTATATTTTGTAGTTATTTTTATATTATTTTATTTTGTATAATATCTTTTATATAATTACATAAATCTTCTAAATTATTACATTAATAAATTATCAGCATTATGGGATAGGTACTACAAGCTACCAAGACTTTTATTTGGGGATGCAAAAGACTTTTAAACTAAAACGTGTGTACGGATTTTTACACCAGGAAAATAAATGTATTATATGAATTCTTTTATTTCATTTACAATGGTTTTAAGCCATGCACATAGGTTACTCTTGTAGGTTTTCAATTTCCGTTTCGCTTTCTAGAAAGCCTTTCAAGGTGGTATGTCCTCAGGCAACATCGGCAAATAAATGTACCAGTTTAGCATTCTCATTTAGATAGCTCTAAACCAATTCTCTACTTTCATATTATCATAACCCAGTTTTTTTTTGTTTTTTTTTTATTGGATATGATTTTGAGCTATCTTTTTTCTAGTAGGCTTTCAAGTTATTGAAATATATCGATTCTGTTCTCTACTGATTTATTGAAGCGTCCATAACCACTAATTTAAATATTCTGATAATATAAGTAGTTTCCCTATCAATAATAATTAATTTATGCACTTGGAAAATGATACATACTATACTTAAATTTTATCATTTGTATTTTGTGAAGATCAAAGAACAAATTATTAAATTATAAAATTATCATCACATGCACTCTCCTGAATAATGCACAAAAAATTAATAATATATATAATTTTAAAAATAGTAATATTTTTTTTGTCAAATCATTGCAAAATGATGATTGCTATTTTAGTAACATAATCTCATGAGCTGAGATTCATCAACGTATTGCTTACCATGCGAGTGAAGGAGATAAGTTAACCTCTAAGATCCATGGCTTGAGGTTTTCATCAACCAGAATATCAAATCCATGCAGCTCTACAAGAGGATAATAAAGATATATCTTAACAGGATATGTACTCTAAATGTTAAGTACAGCAAATATTACCACTGATTGATATGAATATAGAAATATACATTATCTTCTTATATATTAATCCCATGTGTGTATTAACATCATGAGTGCATCTTAAAACTTCCGACGTGTATCTCTAGATTTTAAATCTTTGTCTACACTATCAAATTTTATAAGACAAGCTTGTGGGATGTGCCCTTATATGGGTATGATGATGTCATATTGCACCCAAATATGGGCAAATCACAATTATTTGTAACACTAAATTTCATAGTGCTATCAAAGGCTATGTCCTACGCCAGAGCAATTATCATAGAATGGGAAACTTGGGATTTTTATATTTTCAACATGCAGGGAAGGCATAGCATGTACTGACCAAAAACTATCAGGTACTAATTTATTAATGCAGCAGAGGGTCTCTACATTGTCAGATATCAATGATAGCTATTAATTTTTTAAATATTTATTCAGGTATATAGGTATATTCATTCATGAAAAAGTAGGAAAATTATCATTATTATTAAGATCATCATCATTATCATCATTATAATCATCATCACCATTATCATCATCATAATCATTAATATCCCCATCAACCTCATTATCATAATGATCATCAACATCATCATCAATTCAATATTGTTAAATGTATAATAAGAGGCCCTAACTATTCAATCAACTGATGATTGTGATGATTCAACTAAATATCATCAGCATACTGTCATTATATAAAATTAAAAATATATTTCCATATTTTGCAGCAAGCAGCTTACATTTATTATCATTATTGATTTTTAAGCAGTATCACTGTTGAATAATCTTTACTGCAAGAATATTATTTCCTGCAAGCCAATCCCATCAGCAGATACATTTAGCGATGCTACTGGACTTAACATCACAAGCCAAATCAAGCGAGACCAATATATTTTGTTCATTTGCTAAGAATATCAAATAGGTGTTTGAATAAGTGTTGGCACTGCAACACATATGAAGGTCTTTAGCACAAGCTAAGCTACTAATTGACTGTAAGTAAATGCAGCTCAGGTGTGAAGAACTATTCCCATGACAGAGAGGTCACGCTATTTGGTGAATAAGCCGAGGCAGATTACTTCTAACGTGAAGACAAGCAGACAATCTTTGTGTTAATCTTCGTAAACACCTAGTGAAGCTTGAGGACGAGGACAAGGACCACGCCAAGTCACAAAAAACAGGTCAAAATATTACATACTAATGCTCCTAATATCTAGGATTAATTCCAATTGAATGTTAGAGCTGCTAGAACAAAACAAGACAGTTATTACCATTAAAGCTTAATTACTGTTTTTTTTTCTATTCTTTTTATTTTTTGTTTAATCATGTTACACCGACGTTCTGGCTTGGAGAACACCTTGATTGGCGCTATTGAAATATATATATATGAGAAAAAATAGAGCATAAAATGGAAGACGGCAATGAGTACAAGAAGAAAATGCAAAGAACCTTTGAATAAACCTTGTGAAATACTCTTACACGGCCTAGTGAAAACACCAATATGTTGATACAAGTTTGTTTCTGTTTTAAAACAAAGTTGTTATAATAAAGTGGTAGGAGACAGTACATACCAAAACAATTCCCCCTGTATGGCATGAACATCTTACAAGCTGTTGCAACTGGAAGTTCAGCACATATAATACACTTCGCTATCACTTCTTCTATCTTTGCTAATAAGCCTAAATGTTTAAGAAACAAACCAAAACAAACCAAAATTCAATCATAAATAATAAAATATATATTCCTAAATAATCTAATATATTTAATCATTTCTTTGATGCTAAAAGCAAGTGAAACAACTGGAGGGCTTCCAGCTTAAATTCAAAAGGCAAAGGGTTCAAACCTGAGGTCACACAAAGGTTGATTGGCATAATGCTACAGTAAGGTCAATAAACTGGAGTGGAGATGGCTGTATCTTCTACATGACTACCTAAAGGTTCAATGACCTGGAGACCTAAATTTTACATAAGTGCCAGACACCAGTATCATAGTTATATTTTTATCTAGATATTCTTAATAAAATGATAATATATTATAAAAATATTGCAATTATTAAAAGGTTTAGTGTCAAAACAAATGGTTATGATCAGAAATATGTTGTATACATACCTCTCACATCTCGGCCTTGTTTCTTTAGGTAGCGGAAAAGCGCCCCCAGACTCCACTTATTGCCATAGTCTTCAATATCAGGATCATTGCACCTGAATATAACAAAACAAATATAATATAACAAAACAAATATTATATCAGTCACAAGTGATTTCAAAGGTTATCTATCAGGATTTTGTGACATCTGTAACCAACATCCTAACTGCCGCCATGTTATTTCTCTTATCAATATTATTAACATCAACATTTATACCTTGTTTAAAGAACCCACCACCCGCCAATAATTATGATTTCCAATAAAAATAAACATTCATTTTTTTGGCTAAAAAATGTAAATTTCAGAAAAAGATAAAGTTTGTCTTTATTTTTATTAACCTGCCGCTGCCTTGAAATCTCTAAAACAAAAGGTATATTTCTTCCTTAATTATATAAATTTATAGCATCCTATTACTACTCTGTTTACATTCACTAATAACATTTTATTTTTATTTTCTCCTCTGTCTGAATGCTTTTGGCACAACTCTTCGCTAAAAGAAAAACCAAAATTTTATTTTTATTTGTTTTCCGCCCTCCTCTAATGATCACCATCACCACCAATGGCACTCTGATAATCTTCATCGTCTTTGTGGCAATTATCGTTCCTCAACTATCACATTACTCACATACAAACAGCAAGATGACAGAATGTAAACAAGTTGGAACTCACTTAACATAATCATTACTCTTCTTATTGACGCTATAATTTGTGAGATGCATCATTGTGTTACGGATGGTCTTATTATTATGTTCGTACTGGACGGTTGCAAATCTACAAAAAATGGTAAAAGGAAAAAAAAAATACAGATCAATATAAACTAGCATAACAAATTGTTTGGAAGAAAATATACGGTGCATTTATTAAAAATGAGGGAAGCATATTGTACAGGGTATGCTATTTGAAGGGGGAATTATTATTCAAAATTGCAAAATAATTTTTTTTAAAGATTGCCTATAATCATTAATACAAGTTGTTAAGCAAAACACGTTTTAAAGAGATTGTTTAGTTGTTGGTCTCGTGTAGAACAAGTGTACAGTCTACAGAACAAAATCGGGAGATTGCAACTGTGTGTACTCTCAAAATCATAAGTTGAGCTGCACGGTGGATACTGCCAAATTTGCTAGTAACTCAAATAGGACCCTACTTGAGTCAAAAATTTCACATACTCTCTGTAATTAACCATATTTATATTAATTAATTATTGACTAGTTGGATTGTGAATAAAATTTATATTTTTGTATTGTTTTGGAATTATGTGTATAATATATTGCCTATATTTTATATCTTATTGTAAACCAATGATTTCAGCATGCAGGCTACCTGTTTTGGTGGGGTTTTTTTCTACCTTGAATGAATGAATAAATCAATAAATAAATATATAAATATATTTCATATAAGTTTCTACAGATCAAAATCACCACTGAAAACAAGCCAAAAGCTATCTGCTGCCCTCCAGTTGTTAGACCTATTTCTTTCACTCAAGCTCAAACAAGATACTTAATAATTTACCTTTGACAGCTACGTGGGTGGAATTTACTTCTGTTCTATTAGCGATACAGTAATTTGAGTAAAGGTTGCAAATAAATGAATATAGATGGAATCTATATAAATAATACAAATGCATGGATCCTTAAAGCTGGCTAGTAATCAATTTAAGGATTTTGCAATACAAACGTCTACAAATCAGTACAAACATAATTATTTTGGTCTCTGCCTTTTTGGAAGTCGATACCTAATTTCATCATTTGAAATGAGCAATTTAACATTTAAATGATTTTCTGTTTTATACGTGTCTTATTTTCAAATTTTACAAATGACAATATTTCTTTCCAATTACGCTCAGCCGAAAGGATATATTAAAATGTAAATTTAGGTGATGTGTGGATGGATATTTATTTCACCTCTGTTACAGATAAAGTGAAATTTAACCTGCTCTGCCATACCAAAAAATCCAATCCAATCTTAAACTTATAAACTATATCAATTTTATATAATGCAATTACATTTTTGAGGAACTTTTTACTATATCAAATTTTTAATATGTTGTTTTAAGTCTGATATGGTAATAGCCTTAAAACAAATTTTGAGGAAAGGTGTTGCTTTTGGAAGGGAAAATAGTTTGCCATTTTTTCTGAGGTTAAACCTAGGAGACGAACTAAGAAGAATCACATAAAAAGAGTACTGTTTATAGATATCAAACTAAAATAAAAGTGAATAAAATCACGATGATTTTACCTGGCTAAACCCTCTTCATACAAGTATAGACGAAGAGGATCATAGGACGTTATTGCTACATACAGACGAAGATCAAATTTGAAACCTAAACGGAAAATGAAATGTATATTAATAATAATCAGAATTTTGTATTGTACAATAATATATACTAGAAAATTAGAATATATATACCCCAAAATCCCAGGTAGCTATTTTAACCATTAAAAACATTTCCTTTCAATTACATCCGATCTGAAGCAGGTAATAACCAATTTAATTTGTACATTCTTATGTCTGCCTCAATCTCCTGTGATGACTTGAGATGAGTAATCAAAATACACTGCAGTTGAGATCATAAATTACATACAAAATTGTTAAGTAGATGGTAATGCACATTGCAAATCGAACAAATAATATACATGAAATATATCTTACAAGAACCAACAAAATCATTTCTGGGTTGAAATTTTTGAAACATAAGTTATTGATATATATTTATTTTGAAATTTTAAGTATGCTTATAGATGTTAAATTAAATACTATTAATATTAAGTGGAACTATCTAAACACATTAATAAATATTCAATAACATAACAACTGGTTTAAAATATAAAATTCTAGCAGAAAATTTGTCGAATTTTTCTCTCTTACAGGTGTTTGGATGAGTGATCGTAGATGTTAACATGTTGTTGTAATTAAGACAAGATAACATATTATAGACTGTGCTTCTTGATTATTTCAATCGTAATAGTATTGTAGCACAGGTATGTACCTTCGTAAAACGATTGTTATAGTGCTTATTGGTAATAATTCAACAACTGTGTGCGATTCCTTAAAATAAAAAAAATTAAGGCTGTACATTGCGATCTATACGTGCAGTCTGGTCATGCGTATTCTAAAACGTACGCCACCATTTTTAAAATAACGCATACATGACACTTACCATCAATAAGAAGAGGGTTCTTTAGATATCTGGATACCACAAGGTTTTCATCAAGAGGTAGATGCTGAGGCTGCGGGTGAAAGAATTCAAACACCTTAAGCCCTGTCCAGACTATCAAATTTTATGTGACAAAAACATGCGACATGCCTAAATATGGTCATGATGACATCACTTCATAACCACATATAGGCATCATGACTATATATGGGCAACAGTTTTTTGTAAAATAAAATTTGATAGTGTGGACAGGGCTTTAAGTCCTGTCCACACTATCACATTAGGCAAAACTTTGTCGCATATAGTTTGGTAGTGTGGACAGAGCTTAAAAATCAAAAGCTTAAGGTTTGTCCACACTATCAAGTTAGTGATAAATACCTGTGATTTGAAAATATATGGGTGTAATATGGCATCATCATGGCCAAAAATGGGTGTGATATGACAACATTGTCATATATGGGCGTGATATTTTATCTTTAATTTGTTCACATCCAACAGCAAGTACAAGAAGGATGATGCTATATAAACCAAGTCTCTTTATGAGGCTTAGAAAATAGAGTTGTTTTTAGTTGTGAGAACAATTTTTGCTATTACAGGAATTGAACCCATGACCCTGGGATTAGAAAGCAAGCATCTTAACCACTAAGCCACACAACTCCACTTCGATATGACATCATCATGCCAATATATGGGATCAGATATTTATCAAAGGAAACCGCGAAATATGGACAGATCATTACTGATATATATATGTTAAATATAAAATCAAAACAAGATGACGCTTGGTTACAAATTCAACATTTTATTGCACTACAGGCTGTTTCATGAGGTACTTACTCAATCATCAGGTGCTAGGCTCTAAATAAAATAGGCTCTAAATGTTAAATATATATATTGAAAAAATACAGCTTTATGTCTGCAAGGATAGGATATGCATAGTGTTTAATATCGTTGTCCCACTATGTTATAATTCTCAGTCCATTACGGTTGACAGTATCTGACTAACGCCTTATATAAAAACGCACTTAATACAACACCCACATGTTCAAACATCAATACGACATTAACCTCATTAATTCTATTACATGGACCTCACCATCCCAAGTGTACACTGATGAAAAGGAAACTACTTTCAATAAGTCATATTGTAATATAAACTGATAATAAATTAATCAAAGACAGCGGGACATAATTGCAAGGACATGAAATGACAAATGACAAATTTGCAGCTGGGGACCAAATTGGAACACAAAATGACTTATCACATAAGAAAGTTCTTTCTTTAAACATGTATTTTATAACCAATCACATACTTTACAACAAACTGTTTAACTTTCAGGATGAAGATCTTTAACACTAATGGCACTAATATAATACTGAGTTGTGGACAGTCACAAAATCAATAAAAAATGAAATTAATGTTCTTCAGAGAGGATTTCAGCAACATATTGTACGTATTAAGTGGATTGATAAAATAATGAATCAGGAAATTTACACACCAGTGAATGAGACAGAATTGAGTAAGATAAATAAAATGAAAGAGCTGTATCATTTTTTTTTAATGTACAGAATAAAAAATCTCTCAATGGATTTAAGTCAACTGCTTTAACGGTCAATGACAGTCTTGTATCTTAAGTCGGGCACTTACTGCATCGTACTACGACCGTCGTACTCAAAGAAACCAATTCTGCTCCTTGTAAGCGCTAGACGCCGCAACGCCGCCTATTGATTGCCGGTGGCAGTCTGAGCTAATCGTCATTAAAACTGATCCGTTGCGTGCGCATCGTAGCATTGTGTTCTCTATAGAATCGCATTAACCAACGGCCTTCGGGCAGAGTGAATGCCCGGATTAAAACATCACAGCAGATATTGGAAAATGTAAGTAATCAATGGTATGGGCATGACACACTAGGTCTCAAAGCAGTAGACTGGTCCAGCAAAAGAGTGGCACTTGGTAACACAGGGGAGCAACAAATTTTCAAACACTAGAGTACAAGACCATCAACATCTAAGCACTTCAGACACAACATTTATATAGATACTTTTTAATATTATTCTTCATTTAAATTGTTAATGTCTTAATAACTATTTTGTCATTATAAAAATGGTGTCACACCCCAAGAGACACCTCATGTATCAAACAGTGAGGGCGCTTTCCATAAATAAGAGTATGCCATACATATAATGTTTTCTGAATGTAATTTCCACACACGTTTTAAATTTTTCTGACAAAATATAAATAGAATACTTACATGATTCAATAAAAATATACCCCTCCCTCGGGAGGATGCAACTGGCTTCACTATCCAGGTCCCTTTGTCTTTATTGTGGGCAACTGAAAAAGAAACAGAATAAAACTGAATGTGATTTAGAGATTAATAGTTGATTCATTATACTGTAAGGAAAGAAATGATGATTATAATATGTTGTGAAAGTGGGAGAAAGGTTTTCTTACTCTGCAAAATATTGTATGAAAAGAAATGTAATATGTGAGGTCTCGCCACAAAATGAGTTTCATGGTTAGAAATTCAAAAATTGAGTTTATATTATATTTGGGTAGATCACATTATAAGCTTTCATTTGGTATTTGAATGGCTTCCCTACTATATGTAAATTTACAGATGTGAGCATTTAAAGTTTAGGTGTATAAGAAACACGCTTTGAGAAAATCGGCCTCAAAGATAAACTAACCTGTACCAATAATATGACTAGAATTACAGAATATGTGCGGAGAACACTGTTTTGGCAAGAAAATTCACTTACAATCATAAAATATAAGTATCAAGTTATTCAAAAACATTAAAATCAAAATTTTGTAAAAATTGACTTTGGCCTGTTTTGGTGAATATCTCAATATGATTTCACCAATGATGCATCTAATTTCGTGGTGAGACCTCACATATGAGGCATGTTGTGGCGAAATGGTAAAGTTGTCGCACAGTCCAGTATTGAGTAAATAAGCTATAAAATATGGGTGCTCAAAAAATTGCTAAAAAATCCAAATTTGTTTTTCACTATAGGTCAACAGTTTAATGTCTTATTAATCATGTCTCAAAGTATTAGTTCTGTAAGTGGTTTTAAAAATTGTTTATTTAACGTTATTTTTCATAGTTCATTCTGTTAAACAATGTATGCACAAATAACTTTGAAAGGCAATTACTCAAAATCCTGTTTATCTTGACTTTAAGAGTACTTTACTTTCACTTTCCAATAACTTAGGTTTGAAATGTCCAATTTGAATGAATGACCCCTCA